TCATCACTCTCCTCTGCATCCGCTCCATTCAGTTCACATTCTTTCTCAAGTGAGGCCTCCAGAACTACACACAATACTCCAGGTGCAGCCTGACCAATGCAGTGTACAGCAGGACTATGGCATCTTGCAATTTGGATGTGATAAATCATTAATGGCAAAAACTTTAGGCCACTGGTAAACCTCTTAGGATATCACCCTAAGCTCTATGGCAGAATGAACGAGGGGTATGCTGCCACAGCACCCTGCTGGTGTACGTATGCTCTTATAGGAGGTAAAAAATGGGTGGGACAAGCTCAGCCAGCATATTAAACTTCCTCATCACATGTACTGCCTCCTCTGTAACATTGTTCTGCCATTGCCTTGGCATAAACACTCCAATTCAAGTCTTTGGGAATGGAAGAACTGTTTCTGCCCCCAAACTACACCTGGCGCCGTGTTCCACAGCCATGGTATAGCTTAGGAGACTAAATCTGCAACTGACCACGCATCTCCTAAGCATGATATAAACCCCCATTAGGACACTCCCATCTCAGATGAAAAGGTGCTGAGCATGTCGCTAAAGCTCTCTGGTCACATATTGGTCACAAACACATGAAGTCACCAGGGTAAGTTTGGTCGTGGGATGTTAGAGAAAGGGCCTTTTATAAAATTAAAAAACAACCCATAATGAACACTTCACTCAAACAGCTGAGGAGGACAGCAAACGTATTAGAGCACACTGCCAATAGTGCTTTGCTCAGAACCCTTACAGGTACTCCGTCTCATAACACAAGCTCTGACAAGGAGTCTCTACTCCTGGGAAAGCAAAGACAATGAATCACACACAGGTAAGAAAGGGAAGAGAACCCTTGCCTCAAGCAGGATTTGCTGTCTCTCTCCATGCAACATGAATGTTTGCACTGCCTCAACAGCCCTGCTTCCCCCAACAGTTGCTAGCAGTGTCTTCCCCACAGGCCCAGCAAAAGTAGTTCAGAATGAAAGGCAAAATTTAATCCCAAAACTCACTCCATTGAATTAATACAGAAGACCACCGTAATAACCAACTCACATTTATATAGTTTGCATTAATGTAATCATCATCACTCTTTAAAATGACCCGTGTAGCATCATCTGGGAGGGGAAAAAAATAATTTAATGAGCACATTTGTAAACAGCAAAGACAAGAAGGGGGACCCGCGATACTTTTTCCCTCTGTGGCGGCGGCAGTGGTGGCGAAGCCGTTCTCAGAGCATTCCCTACGCCTGCGCAGGGAACACTCTTTTACTTTTTCGGGGATTTAAATATCCCCCACATATTTTTTCCAAGTTTTCAGATTTTTCTGCACATATGGGGATTGCCCCAAATGTGCAGGAAAATTTCCCTGCCCCCCAAGTGCCCCCGATGTGCGGATTTAGATATCCGCAAGGAGGGGGCATGTTGGGAATTAGATATATAGATAACTTAATCAATGTATCTAATTTTCTCAACATGGCCACATCTGTGGATACCTAAATCCAGAGACTGAGCCATGAACAGACAAGACAGATTTTACTAGAAACCTGAAAGAAGTCTGAAGTTTGCAGAAAAATTTGAAATCTAAAAAAACCCACCCCGTAATCTTCCCAACTGATAGAAGCACCTATGTTGGGAATTAGATATATAGATAACTTAATCAATGTATCTAATTTTCTCAACATGGCCACATCTGTGGATACCTAAATCCAGAGTCTGAGCCATGAACAGACTAGACAGAAAAATTTGAAATCTAAAAAAAAACACCCATAATCTTCCCAAATGATAGAAGCGCCTGTAATTTTAAGAACTGAATGGCATCTTAGCAATGTTGTAGGGATTGCTAGTTGGCAAAAAAAAAAAAGTATTGCCAGCCTTCAAGCTTGGTTTTTGTTTCTGACAGGAAAAGGCAGGGGGAGGGGACAGGGCCCATTCTAGAGCTTCTTTGGCTTTTGAGGGAGGACTACTCAGGGCCAGACCTGGCAGCAACCATTAGATGACTTGACTTCATGCAATTTGCATGACTCACCCAGGAATGACTGCTTGCTTTTGTTCAATACCAGTCACCCCATAAAAGTCGGTGTAGTGTAGTGGCTAGAATTTCAGACTAGGACCTGGGAGATGCAGGTTCGAAACCACTCTGCCATAGAAGCTTGCTGGGTGACCTTGGGCCAGTCACCCTCTCAGCCTAACACACCACATGGAGTATTCTACGAGTGGGGAGCATCAGAAATGGGGAAGTAACACCCTCTGCATTGTTTCAGCATAGCAAAATGCCTGGTGAGAGAGGCCAAGTGCCCTTCCTTACCCCACAGCCGAATGAGCTCCTGTATTTTTAAACAGCCATTCCCCACAATGACCATTTGGCTGTAGGGAGCCTGCACATCTTTGTAATGAATTTCAATGTTCATTTCAATGTTCATACTTCATTCAAGTACTTACAAGGCGAAATGTCTCTGTATCTATTTTTGGAAATGTTTTGAGGTAATTTGGCACAAGACATTGTCATCCCAGGCTTCTTCCTATAAAGTTGCTGAACAGAAACAAACAAGTCAGGCGGTGCCAAGAGAAATATGACTAATCATGAGATGGTGTGTGCAAGTAAGGCAACATTTCACTAAAAAGTTAACTTTCCTCCACTTGCAAACAAGGCAGACAACACTTGCGTCTTGTACTTCTGAACGTTTCAGGAAACTGAGTATTTATTCATCATCACTTAAATTTTTGGTAAAGACATATGCTGAGGGAGTGAACAGAGTTACTAACATCAAGGAAATGGCCACGGGTATTGGGCAGTATAGAAACAACTGTCTGTAAGGTATCAAGCTATTCACCAAACTTTAAAAAAAGACCTTTTCCAGGAGCACATGGCAAAAAATGGCATATTGTATCTAAATAGAAAATGTCTAGCCAGATTATTTAGAAAAAACACCGTAAATGCTCTTGTCCATCCCTAAGTCTACATTACAAGTGAAGTAGCTCTTAGTACACGTACAGCCTTAGGTAGCCATAGAAAGCAGCCAGAACATGCTCGCCAATGAATAATTTATCAATTTAATGAACATTTTTCAATGCAAGAAGACTACACTTAAAGGTCCCATGCGGCATAAAACAGCAGATGTAACATTTTGTATGTCACTTAATGCCTCTGGGTTAACTGAAGACAGAATGTGCTGCTGAGGTGGCCAGAGACAGATATGAAGGTAAAAAAATATTATATACCCATGGGGTTCGGTATACATCTGAAACATCAAAAATAATTCTAAAGCACTCAAGACTAATTATGTTTCTGCATCAAGTTCGAGGGAAGCATCCGATCTATGCGTATATTAATACAAACCCAAATTATATGAAAGGGAAAGTATTTCCTCAAACTACTGATGAGACTAGGCCGACTTTCCGGGGGGGGGGGGGGGAATCAAGCTGACTGGAGTATTCTTCATAAACGACTGCCTTATATCACATATAGTGTAAGTATGCCAAACTCCCTGTCTCACAGGAGGGGTCATTTCAACCAGCAATGGACCGCATCGGGGTACCCCAGGAGTCTATATACCAGGCATCTTGACTAAAGTGGATACAAAGATGGATGCCAGGACTAGCAGGCCCCATAATCAATGCCTAGGCGGCAACCCTGGGAAGCACACGAGATCTTGTTCTGACAGCTGTGACTCCCCCTCCACCCTGCTGACGTCTGCATATTCTAGACACTGGACTTCTGTCACCCCAGAGATACTTCTTTTCTATTCCAATCACTAATCCTATCAATCTCGTTTCAACCTTCCTCCCCACATTTCCTTTATGATGAAAAGTCCTGACTTCAACTCCTTTCCCACACCCCAAACCTAGGTAGCTCATCAAGCAGTATTGTTTCTGTTTTGATTAGTTTAAACTAGCAATCCATTAGTTCTTCAACCACCAGAGAAATAATCAGGAACCAAACCCAAATTGAACCTCTAGTCTCTTGTCCACTCCTGGGAACCCTATACAGCGTTTCCAAACTACATCATTTTATCCCTGATTAATTTCATCAATCTTTGTTCTGAGGGACACATTTTTGGGTCTAATTGGCCCAGCGCAGCCCCATTGCTAGGTTCATGTTGTCTTGGGCGCCTACCAACATGCACCCCCAGTATACTGGGTCCTTCCTCTCCACAAGGCGCTGGTCATTTCACCATCTCTCCTTCTTCATGGATGTCTTCAGGAAAGGTAGCTATCGCCTCACTCCCCACTATTCTTCCACTCCTCTACTTTCCATATATCTTGAACATGTGTATGTTCCATGTGCTCTCCTTGTGTGTTAAATTCCTGAATTTCCCTTCAATAAAACATTCTCTATTTTACTCTTGGACTGGTTATTGAGAGCTCTCCTAAAGGGAAATTTCCCCATAAACACAGGTAGTAGATTCTCGCTAGTACCCCACCCCTCACTGAAGCCTGCCATTTAGCTAAATTCCCCCAGAAACTGAAGACAGCGATTCAGCTTCTTAAACCTATGCTGGTGGAGATAACAATAGCACATGAGAAATGTTGGCCATGTCAAAATTCAACCTACATTTCCATTTACAGTTCCTACACACCAAAAGTTCCACTGGAGTATGCCATGTAATTGGAGGCAGTGGATGGCCAAACTAATTACTACCATTTCAGGAATGTTGTTTAAGAGACAAACTGAGGCATAGCTACATAAAACTGGGGGATCCTCAGGTTTGCGTGTTCCCTCCCCATTTTGGCCTGGTTCAGAAGTGAAATGCTTCTGTAGCAACCCATTCTTTTTTCCTTTTATCCAAGTCACAAATCTATAGTTGTTTAGCTTTCTTAAACCCAGACTGTCTTCTTCCCCTGAAACCCAGATTGCTGTCGTCTCTTTAAACCCAGATTAAACCACAGTTTGAAACCCTGGTTTACGAGGATAAGAGCAAACAATAGTTTGTAATTTGTAAGTAATGATACATAGTGGTTTTCAGTGAGTTGCAGGTACTTAATTAACTAGTGATGTCTGAGGGGCAGGGACCACATGATCTTCTGGCTTCTTCTTATAACAGAAAAGCCAATGGTTTTTCATTGTGTTTAAACAGTACCAGAATCACTTGATGATATTGCACATTATATTCTGAGATGCCCATGGCATGAAGCCCTTAGGCTAAAGTACATCATATCCCTATTATCCCTCAGCGTAATGGACTCTCCGATCTGGATCTGGTCAATTTTTTACTCTCGGACCTTGACCACTATGTCTCTAGCAGAATGGCGTTATTTGCCTTAGCAACAAGGAAAATCAGAATGAGTTTCGTAATTAACGCAAAGCAGAAGAAGTATAGGAGTATACTGATATTTTTCTATTGTCTACATTACCATTTTATGACCTGATGTATTATGTTATGGGCTTTGGTTAAGACAATAAACTTATACTATTCAACAAGAATCACTTGCTAGTTATTTCTATTTAGACAAAAACTATCCTGCAGATGTCTCTATGCATATGATCATCAAAATCCACTTTGTCAACACAGATAAAGTTTTCTGGAGGACCAGGGGCTCTGTCCTTGGCTATCAGAGGCAAAAGCTGTAACTACATATTCATCACTGCATGCCTGTTCCCATTTCAGGAAGGTAAACTGTACAAGTATCTCTGCTGGAATATGAAATGCTTGACATATGTATCACTGTTGTTGGTTTAGGTTCTCAGAAAATGGCATTCTATTTGACCCAGTTAGATACAATAACTTGTTATGGAGTGTTCAATATTTAAGAGGAAATGGTTTGTCTGTGTTACCAACCACCTGGATACTCCAAGAAAGCAAAGAGAGGGTTAACGTTACACTCCCAAAGCCTGTTTTCTTCCCTCAAGTTAGATCAAGTAGACTGCTGTCCAGGGTCCTGAATGAGAAAAAGGCACAGCCATGCAACCTCTTTATGAAAAGCATTCCACTGCCAGTGAAATTGACCCTTGGCACTAACCATGAGGGGTCCTTCTACTCTGAGGAAAGGAGGACATCTTGGGTGATTCCCACCATCCTATCAGGGAGAGGCAGGAACGAAATCTTTCTTCCTCTTCCTGTGGAGTGAGAACACCCCCTTTTCAATTCGGGAGACTTCCAGCAGCAGTACTGGATACAACTTACTCCAACTAATAAACAAGAAACAACTCCAAACATGGAATTAAACTTTAGACAGAACCATAGAAGGCAACATGGAAAAAACACGAAACCCAGTAAGAATACACATAGCGAAAGAAACTGGAAGAAGAGTTAAGATAAGTCACATCTCAGAGAAGAGTGAGAGAGTGATGCACTGGGTGGGGCAAGATGTCCTCCTTTCCTCAGAGTAGAAGGACCCCTCACGGTAAGTGCCAAGGGTTGGTCTCCCTCTGAGGCGGAGGACATCTTAGGTACTTCCAAAGCAGTACCCTATGACCTCGGTGGGAGATTGCTCTCCTCTTCTATGTGTTGTAAAACTCTTCTTCCGAAGGCGGCATTAGCCAAATCGTATAGGTTCAGTTTGTAGTGCCTGATGAAGGTGGAGACAGAAGACCAAGTGGCGGCTTTGCAGACTTCTTCAATCGAAGCGTGTTTCGCCATTGCTGCATTTGTGGCTGCACTTCTCACTGAGTGTGCTGTAATTCCAGTGGGAGGATTCAAGTTGAGAGACTTGGAAGCCTCTGTTATGCATGTTTTGATTGTAAAGCTGATAGCAAATTTAGACATCTTGTTCCCCCAATGCAGAGGTGAGATGTTAAAAAACAGAGCCTCGGTCTTTCTGATACTGTCGGTAAAAATCAGGTAAGCGTTGAGAGTTCTGCGAACATCAAGCGTGTGCGCATGGACCTTTCTCGTGGATGTTTAAGGATCTGGGCAAAAAGATGGTAAGTATATCTCTTGAGCTCTGTGGAAACGAGATGCCACCATCGGAATGAAGGTAGGGTCTGTGTATGCAGGACCACTTTGTCCTTGTGAAAGATGCACAGTCCTGGATTTGCCAAGAGCGCTCCAATTTCAGAAATACGCCTGGCTGAAGTTACTGCCACCAGGAATATCATTTTCATGCGTAACCATTTCAGTGGGACCTCCTGCATAGGTTCAATAGGCCTTGGTGAGAGCGGATAGCACCGTACGTAGTTGCCATATGGGAAATCTGTATACTGGTGGAGGGCTGCGAAGCGAGGCTCCTCTCAGAAACCTGCGTACGTGTGGGTGTGTCGACAAAGAACGGCTCTTCATATGAGGAAGCACAGAAGCACAGGCTGTGGCTTGCTTTCTGAGTGTTGCTGGTTTCAAACCTGATTTGAGGCCGTCGTGTAAGAACCCCAAAATAGAGTGAATGGGAGGTTTCCTGGTGTTGACTGATTTTCTCCTACACCACCTATGAAAGGCTTTCCAGGTGGCATTATATATCCTAATGGTGGAGCTCTTTCTGGAAGCAAGAATTGTTTCTGTCACCTCCGAAGAGTATCCAAGTTTTAAGTAAGAGCACCGTTCAAGTTCCATGTGGTCAGAAGCAGGCACTCTGTATTCGGGAGCCACACTGGCCCCT